ATAGAACAGGGAGAAGATCAAAGAATTGACAGAATTTTGATGAGAGGGAGCGGTTGAATATTCAGGTGAGAGAATGCCAAGAATTTAGGGGCAAATGTGGCAAAGAGCAATTTTAGTTAAAGGAATGTGTTAGTTATGTTAGACTAAAGAGTCCCTTCCTGTGGTTCATGGAACAAAAGACCAGAATGCCATGCTGAGGCCATATTATGAAAGTTTTGAATACAGGCTGGAGTTTGGAGTTTGTACTTTATTCTATAAGCACAAGAGTTTCATGGAAAGATTTTGAGCAAGCGGTGTTATTAAACATCAGTTTAATAATGTCAGTTTCATACGATGATTCTCAGAGTGATCACCTTGAATGGAAAAGAAACCACAGGCAAATACTTAAGAGGCTGTGGCATTAGTCTAGTGTGAGTTGATAAGGATCAGAATCCAGAATCAGGTGGAAGTTAGAAATGGACAGACTAAATCTGTGTGTGTGTGTGTGTGTGTGTGTGTGTGTGTGTGTGTGTTTTCATAGAGCACTTAGCATATTTTTATAAATGAATAATATAATAAAAACTCCAAAACTAAATTTACCGATAATCTTTACTGTGGATGAGCAAACATTAGTGGAATGATTATTAAAAGTGTCCTATACAACACTACTACAGGAATTCTTTATCTGCATGATGTTATGAGTCCAGCCCAGTTATACTCGTGTTCCCTATGTAATTTTCCAAGTAAGACATTCCACTGAGAGTTTAGTCCTAGGAAAACTTGGTGTATTTTCAAGGAACTGGAATATTTCCTTCCTTCTTTTCTTCCTATGAAGCTCAGGCAACCTTCTCTGAATGCCTGTAGGCTCCACACCAGGCTTTCAGCTTAACCACTGCAGCTGTGTTGACTTTAGACTGTAATCTCTGTTTTCTTCTTTGTTGTTAACTCTCCTCCCCTCTCTTGCCATTACTGTTCACTAATCTTACAGTCTTGGTTTCTCCTCTTCCCTCTGTAAGCTTCTCTAAATGATTTTTCAAAGAAACAAAGGATAAGGACATTTAATATGTGCCAGTAGCTTTCCTCCCTCTGTCTCTAGCCTCAATTTTCTCCTTGAGCTCCAGCACAGCATTTCTACTTCTTGCTTGTATTTTGCCCAGCCTCTAAACAGATGGTACCATCTAGCATCTCTCTTGTGTCCAACCTCCAACAATATTCAAATGTGGTCTTTGAACCAACAGCAGCAGCACCACCTGGGAACTTTTCAGAAATGCACATTCTCAGGCCTCACCCCAGAGCACTGAACCAGAAACTCTGAAGGTGGGTCCCGGCAATCTGTGTTTCAATTAGTCCTCCAAGGGATTCAGACACATGTTAAAGTTTGAGAACCACTGTTCCAGAGAATATGCTCTTTTCTCTGTCCCAGTCTATGTGGTTCCCTAACTCATGGTGTCTCTCATCCATTCTGCATGTTTGCTCTGTCATCGGGGCAAATTCTTTATACACTTTTCAGAATTAGTATAAATTCCTAAAGAAGCTTATCTGATTGGTGTAGCTAATTATTGCCCTTACCACAGTTAGTATTTATGAGCACCCCACCCCAAGATCACTGGCTGGCCCATGCTAGAGCCACTCTTGGGTTACCTGTCAGTGGCCAGCTCAGCTAAAAAAACAAAAAAAAAAAAAACTGAACCCAAACCATACTAATACTGCTTTCCTGAGAAGATGGCAGCAGATACACCAGAAAGAGGACCGCTTCTGTCCAATAAACTAATCTTTAATTAAACTGATGTAAGCAGTATGTCTTCAGCAGAGGACTAGTGGGGATTTTCTTAGTTGCATAACCTGGATTTCAGGGTCCTTTTAGGAAAGACAAGAGGCAACCATTACAGCTTGACACCATTGGAGATAGAGGCAAGGAGGTCTCCCTGCTGATACTTGAAGATGGTTCAAGTTAGCTTGAGATGAAAGATCCTATTATAAATTGTAACATGGACAAGGACCCAATTCACAAATTACACAGGTGCCATCCAATCTGTACTCTTAAAGGAAATGTATTACTAGATGTTTACATTAGTGTGTCAATATACTATTCCCTTTATTTCTTAAATGAAGAAACACTTTATAATTCCAATTATAGTGATAACCTGAGAAATTGGTTTAAAGTCCTCAAGTTGCTGTATTAGGGGCAACAAGTAGCAAGGAGGGAATGAGTTTAAGTAGAAATCTCTCATTAAATTGAGGTAGAAAATAGAAGGGGGTAAGTTCTCAAAGTTTTGCATGGTAGCAAACTAAAGAAACAGATAAGTATTCTTGCAAATAGAATATTTGCAATAAAAAATAATTGCAATAAATAATTTCAAATAACTTTATTTATAATTGCAATATAATATATTGCATATATATTGCATATATATATTGCAATATAATAATTGCAAAAAATAATTGCAATAAAAAATAGATGTGTTTCAAAGATTTATTCTATCATAATTTGAAAGATGTAGTGGGGCGCCTGGGTGGCTCAGATGGTTAAGTGGCCGATTTTGGCTCAGGTTATGATCTCACGGTTCACAAGTTCAAGCCCGGCGTCGGGCTCTGTGCTCATAGCTCAGAGCCTGGAGCCTGCTTCAGATTCTGTTTCTCCATCTCCCTCTGGCCTCCCCTGCTCATCCTCTGTCTCTGTCTCTCTCTCAAAAATAAATGGAAAAAAAAAAACATTAAAAAAAAAAAAGAAAGATGTAGCTATAACTGGGATCAGGGCAGTTTTGTTCTACATTTGATTAGGAACAAAAATAAAACAAAAAAAACAAAACAAAACAGAAAAAGTATTGATTAGGCATTAATGCGATACTCAGTTCCTACCAGGAGGGTTTTTTGTTTTTGGGTTTTTTTGTAACCTACTTGAAGAATCAAGGTTAATTTAACTTTTGGTATCTGAAGCAATACCCAAACTACAAGATAATAGATGGTTAAGTGCTAAATTACATTATCCTTGATGTGTTTCTCTTTGTACACTCTTGGAATCTCATCTCTTCTGACTTTATCTAAAAACTATGTAGGTCAGTGTTTCTCAGTCTTGAGTAATGCAGAGATAGACTGTTGTAAAAATTTTTTACATTCCCTCAGTATGGAATCAAAGTATTTTTATTTTATTTTTTTACCAAAACATGTATCAATCTAAAAATAGGCACATACCACTTAACCTTATGATTCTTAAACAACTATGAAACACAAATCTACAAGTCAACTACAGAAAAGCTATACAGCCCATAGCATTTAAACTAATTGAGGGGCATGGGTAATGTTTTATTGAAGCAAAAATCATACTCCAAGCCTGAGCACGGTTTTGCCTAAGGTACAGCTTTCTTTGCTATCCACAGGTCTTAGTCTGAATCACATGATGACTCAGCTCTCACCTCTTTATTCAAACTACTGTGAAACTATCCGTTATATACTTCCTGTGGGTTTTTGTTTTGTTTTGTGTTTTGTTCTTTTTTGTTTTTTGACTGTGATTTGTACAAACACATCGGGTATTAACTCTGCTTGTGGTATTTTCTGTTTGGCAATGGTTAATAAAGTGCCATGTATTGTCCACTTGAAATACAAATTAAAAAGTGAGAAATAAAATTTGGGGCGATTTGGTGTAGGGTGGCCAAATTTTGTTTGACTACTTTTAAAAGATTGTCATAGATTTGAAGATACGAAATCCTCATGAAAAGATATTTTAAAATCCTCATTAAAAACTGAGGGCAGCTGTGGAGGACACAGCTGTGCCTACCAGTTCCCCTACAAGGAAGCATGTGATGCCCCAGCCAGCAAAAGAGAGCACCCAACTCTCAGTTCCTGTAGGGTTTGTTCAGCTGCCAAGTGCTTCCCAGTCCACGGGCTCGTCCTCCACGAGTGCCCACATTCAAGGACCGATGGAGGCAGTGGTATTACAACTTGGCTATTTCACCTGAACAGGGACAAGTCTTGAAGGGCCACAGATGCTCTAGTTTCCCCATGGACTTGGCTGAGGCTTTGTTGGCCTGTGCTACAGTTCCATCTTGCCCTCCCGATGCTGCATTCCTCCTCTCTCCTGTTAGTGATGATCCTTAATAAATACCCTGCATGCCAAACTCCATTTCAGTGTCTAGTCAGGAAAATCCAGTCAACAAGCACTCCTGACAATCTCCCTGAGGATCACTGAGGAGTAAGAAAACCTCTTCCGTAGCCCCGATTCTTCTTGCAAGGGTCTAGTCTCCGATTTCAGCTTCCAGTTGTATACTCTCACCAGTACTTGAAATCAACGGGTCCAAAGCTGACACATAACCCATCTCTTGGGCTTGTGCCTCAGAGAAACTTGTGGATTCCCCCCCGCCCCGTTTTATAATCTATTTAATGGCACTACCATTGTATTCCCACAGGATCCAAACTTGAGAGGTAATGTTTATTCCTCACACATCTTGCTCTGTACAGTCTATTATTCATGCTTCTTAACACAGGAAGAACTTTACTCACTTCTCCAGGGATTCACTCCCTTCTAAACAAGGGATGCTGTTGAAATTATAATGGAAACGTTCACTTTGCTCTTGGGATATCTGTTCCCTTCAGTAGTTTTCACTTTCCTTTCTCTTCGATTCCGTAAACTTTAAAACACACAACAATTTTTTCTTGTAAAGGATATGTATGCAAAATTCCAACCCACAATCATCTACTTATTTTGGAATGCAATATGTTGGCTCCCCTATCAAATACAAGAATGATGCTTCGAGAGGATGGCAGCAAGTGCCAAGGCCTTCACTTTTCCTCCTGCAATTAAGATTAGTGCAGCAGAGTCATTAAAATTTTTTTTATTTTGTTTAAAATAAAATAATAAAATACAATTTTCTTTTCTTCTTTATCTTTTATATTGGTCTAAAGACTAAAGAAAACCAAATCTTGATAAATACCAAAATGATAATTTTGTAATACACGGACTAAAAACGTGTGAATGTTACAGTTAGAAGTCTATGAAAACATACATACTTTTTAAAGTAGTCAACTCATTGAAAGATACTGATATTTAAAATGGAAGGTTGTGTTGTCAGTTGAAAATGAGAACCTGAGATGTTTGTGAGGGAGAAATTGTCAGGAAAGCAGTAGAACATTTCCTGCCCGTGGGTGCAATCTTGAGGATTTGTGATGGCCATGACGAACCCAACAACCATCACCACAGCACCGACAGGAAGCATGACACAGGCCATAATCTTATCTGAGTGTGTCCTCGGTTCTTCAGAGAGTTTCAGATAGCATGCTGATGGAATGATAAAAATTAGTGGAGCTGCACAGAGCACACCCTGCATATTGAAAACAAGAAATAACAATATGTTACTGAACGGAGCATTCCTTGGACAGGTTTTAAAAAAACATTTACAAAATATATTTGTCATTGTACATATTAAAAGTTTAATAGGTTTAGTTGAATCAAACAAAGGAAAGAAAAATAATCCCAGGGAGACTTAGGAATAGGTTTTCCCCTTTCTGATAATGTATTTACAAATGAGAATAGTAAAATAACATAATAGTATATCAGACTAAGAAAAACATGATCAGAAAATAATTTCGAAAATAAAGCAGATGGCAAGGTCAATTTCTGGCAAACTCTTGAAACATCCCATGTTTTCAGTCACATCATATTTCCTTATACTCATTATCTCAAATTACTGAGTACTACTATGCTGTTCAAATATGAGAGGTCTATTTGTCATTTGTGTACAAGAGGGGACTATTGGGAAGTGTGTAGGGGATATTATCTTTCCTCTTTTTTTCATTGTGTATGAAAGTAGGTGCCCCTTGGAATAAAAAAAGATAACTATCACCCGAGGGCACTTAACATGAAATAACATTTCTAAATTCTCTTTCAAGTAAAACCAAACACGTTAATTACTCTAGAAAATTGACAGAACTAAATGACTATGACTCATTCACCCTCCCCCACATTAGCTTATGGGTAAGTCCAACCTGAGGGGGCATGTCAGATTGAAAATTATGGGCAGTAGTGTTGTCTATTATAAAAATACCAAGAGTTATTGACTTAAAAGAAAAGATACTTTCCCCTTGAGGCTAAATATGCACTAGACACTGACACATGAAATAATGTTAAAATTTAATGCATTTTAGGCACTATAGAGTTTTTAAATTATACTAAATGTGAATTATATAGTAAACAAAATATAACACATATTACTAAGATATAACAAATATAATTACACAACAAATGATACTCTCTTTAAATTTTTTTTTAACATTTATTTATTTTTGAGAGAGACAGAACATGAGTGGGGGAGGGGCAGAGAGAGAGGGAGACACAGTATCCGAAGCAGGCTCCAGGCTCTGAGCTGTTAGCACAGAGCCCCAGGTGGGGCTTGAACCCACAAACCATGAGATCATGACCTGGGCAGAAGTCAGATGCCTAACCAACTGAGCCACCCGGACGCACCACAAATGACATTCTCTTAAGCCATAAAACACAACTTTTAAAAACACACTCAATAGCAAATATGATATTGGTTTAGAATTAAAAGCAAGCTTTCCTTAAAATATGTTTTGCTATATTTGAAACAGTTATAATGGAAATTTGTAAATATACAGAAAAGTAGAAAGAATAGTATAATGAAACCCTATACACCTATCACCTGTGGTTTGACACATGATTTTAGCAGATTTTCTCCAAGGAAAAATCACAGAAAACTGATTTTGAAGCTGGATGATGTAAAAACAGATTATACCTTAAAACAGTTTTAGAAGAAATATTTTCTCAATATTATCATTTACTAAAATTACTATTACACTAAGTACCATCCTTATACCAGAAATATTACGACTATGATTCCAAAACTATAACTTTTTTTTTTATTTTTTACAAAAACAGAAGTGCAGAGAAATGAAATGAGACTATTCAGGCAGTATCTGAAAATTTGGAGATTAAGAGGGACCACACTTCATGTAAAATACATCTACAGTCAGAGATAAAGAATGAGAAAAGAGCGCCAAATTGTATTCTTTTTCTTTTCTAATGTTTATATATTTATTCGGAGGGAGAGAGACTGAGCATGAGCTATGGAGGGGCAAAGGGAGAGGGAGAGAGAGAATACCAAGCAGGTTCCACACTCAGCACAGAGCCCAAGGCAGGGCTCGATCTCACAAACCATGAGATCATGACCTGAGCCGAAAGCAAGAGTTGGATGCATGACCAACTGAGCCACCTAGGCGCCCCCCCCCATTGTATTCTAATACAAAATATAAGGACATTGTAATTTTGTCATTCATAGAACCTGCATAAAAATAAGTACCTACCAAGGTACACAGATATAAAGAATTAGTTTTCATTTGGCAAGAATTGAATGAATTATGGATTCCTTAGGCTGTATCATAACACCTGAAACTGACAATGTTTTTAAGTTATGAAAAATACTGTAGAACCCAGTCTGTGTTTATGATAATTATTACCCTTTGGTTTCTTTGAGAAAAAATTGAAAACAATGAAAAAGTAATTAAGATATAAATATATGTATGTGGGTATGGGGATGTGTATATGTACAGTCTCTTCTCTTTATAGGAACAAACGGGGAATGCCAATTCATCTGGAACTTGAGAGTGTTCATCTGGAGTGTTGAGAGTACTATCAGGATGAAAACCGCCACCAGCTGCTGCTAAGAAGCTGTCATCAGTCAGCATTTTGGGACTCTTTCCAAACCTAACTTGCTGGGCAGTCTAAAGCAATGGGTGTTCTGTTTATGTTATAATTCTTAAGAGTTGAGAAAGTAGCAATTAGTGGGAAAACTATATAGCTGATGTTTGTACTGGAAGAAGTCCACTTGGGTATCTTGTCTAGAAAACAGTTACTTTCTTAATATTTGAAAGCTCAGTCTTGCTAGAGGTTGTTGTTAGGACCCAAGACCATCAGTAGAATTACAGAGTGGTTCCACCTGCTCTATTCCCTGTAAATTCGTCCAGCTTCTTTGATCTATTTAATATAGCCTTGTGTGAGATATACACCACTGGCTTTGGAATAATTTTTGGAACTGCTTGACAGGATGTAAATATCATAACTGTTCGTTAAGGGAGAATAAAAAGCACCTAGATGGCTCAGTTGGTTAAGTGTCCGACTCTTGATTTTTGACTCGGGTTGTGATCTCACGGTTAGTGAGTTTAAGCCCCATGTTGGGCTCTGCGCTGATAGCATAGAGCCTGCTTGGGATTCTGTCTGTCTCTCTTCAAGGGACAATAAAATACAGCCTTATTTATAAAGGCAGGGCAGCACTATCCTTTGATAATGACACAACTGACGCCAGGGCATTCTGGAGTTTGCGAAAGAAAATGACAGAAGGTGTTGATGATTTTCACTGGCAATTCAAATTGGAAAAGTATCTAAATTTTCCTACCAGAATAGAAACCTCTGAAATGATGCAAGAAAGCTGAAAACTAAACAAAAGAATGCTTATACGTCTTCTGAATTTCTACTTCATAATCAATTTGGACTCATGAAATGTATTCCTATACTTTAAAGAGAAATTCTCTCTAGCTCAGGAGGTCTTTGGCAGCTCTGACTATGCCTTGCTCACCCTGATGACTGTATCTCTCCACATTGGCTCTCACTGGGTAATTGGCTTGCTTGCTTCCTTCTACTTTAAGCTGTACACAATGCTTGTTGGGCTGGTTACTCTGGCCACAGGCCCCAGCTGCTTCATCTTTTCTCTTTGTACTGCTGCAAGTAGAAACCCATAGGGCCCAATTACTGCAGATACCTCTTTTCTCTAATAGCAACATCAGTGCCAAGAAGCTGGATTTTTATTACCAAGAATGGGACTTATATTTATTTTATTTGCTTCTAAAATGAATCCTTTAAAATTGAGGGTGCATTTCCTTTGGAAAATACGTCATTATTGTCTACTGCCATAAAAACAATGTAATAAAAGGGAAGCTAAGCTCTAAATAGGGTTTTGCTTTTTATTTTTTTTTTAATTTTTTTTTTCAACATTTATTTATTTTTGGGACAGAGAGAGACAGAGCATGAATGGGGGAGGGGCAGAGAGAGAGGGAGACACAGAATGGGAAGCGTGAGCTCCAGGCTCTGAGCCATCAGCCTTCCCAGAACCCGACAGCGAGCTTCCATGAGAACTCCTGAGACAGATGCGTGACCTGGCTGATGGGACGGCAACACCTGACTTCATCGCCACCAAGCTCCCAATTTTTTGCTTTTTTATTAAATAACTAATATAACCCCAAATAATTTATCCTCTATTATTTTAGTTACAGTAACAGCATTTCCCTAAATTTGCAAACCGAAGGTTTGATTCTAATGTCCCATTATCTCATCAGTGAAGATCATTAGTCTACTTAGTGATGATTCAGAAGCCACAGTAGAATTCTTAAAGTACAATTATTAACTAAGATAAAAGATATTAGTGAAACATCAATTTAGATGAAAACTTTCAGTCCCATTTTATTTCATCAGGTATTTATTTTAACCCATTATTAAAGTCTAACCATATATATATATATATATATATATATATATATATATATATATATATATTATGGATTACTCTTAACCTCACTTATAGGTAAGTGCATCGTCGATTTTTTAACTTAAAAAATGGATAGAGTGGGGTGCCTGGGTGGCTCAGTCGGTTGAGTGTCTGACTTCGGCTCAGGTCATGATCTCACAGATAGTGGGTTTGAGCCGCGTAAACTCTGAGAAGACTGTCGGCACGAGCCCCAGAGCCTGCTTCAGCGGAAAAGTCTTCATCTCCCTCTCTCCCCTGCCCCGCTTCCCCTGCTCATACTCTGTGTGTGTCTCTCTCTCAAATATAAATAAACATTTAAATTTTTTTTAAAAAATTAAAAAAAAAAGTGGACAGAGAAATGAACTTACTGATTTTACATAATTTAAAGGAAATTTTTTTAAAAATGTGGACTACAGAGTCTGAAAGCCTGTGTTCAAATTTAGATTCTGCACTTACAACTAGTGTGAACTATTAAAAAAATTTTTTTTCATGTTTATTTTTTGAGAGAGAGAGAGAGACAGAGCATGAGCAGAGGAGGGGCAGAGAGAGAGAGGGAGACACAGAATCTGAAGCAGGCTCCAGGCTCCAAGCTGTCGGCACAGATCCCAATGCGGGGCTCGAACTCACGGACTGCAAGATCATGACCTGAGCCAAAGTCAGACGCCTAACTGACTGAGCCATCCAGGCACCCCTGAACTATTTAATTACTCTATTTAATCACTCTGTGCCTCAGTTTCTTCATCTGTAAAACTAATACAGATCAAGGAAGATAATGCATGCAAAACACT